AATCACAGATTAATATTGTTTATCAGTATTTCTCAGATTCTCTATTCATCCCAGAGATTATGTTTCTGTTTATTTTCTTTCGCTCTTAGCCTTAATTCTCATTAAGATTTCTTCCCATATTTATTTAAGCGCATATCAAACAGAAATGCATTATACATCATCTGATCCCTACTCTACCCATGCCAGATATTACCCTCACTCCTGTCAATGATCTCCTTGGGTTTATGTAACCTGGTGTCCAATAACTAGTAATTTGGATTGGTTTTTTTTTTTTTATATGCCATGGATTGTGTACAAGTAGTTGTTCTTTCCTCCCCACTTAAAAATATTTATTCTCATGGTTATTTCTTGACAGGTGGTTTGGAACTCACTGTGCCCTTGTTATGCCCAACTTTTCCAATTAATCCATCAAGTACTTCTGCTCAAGGGTCATCAATAGCTTCTGAGATATTATTTTGCACAGAGTCTATTAAGATAGTAGTTTTCTATGGGGTTGATTATTTTCCTCTCTCCATAGCTTATTTTTTTAAATGTTTTTTAAATGTTTTTAATATGTCTGTTATTGTTTTTTTAACTTTGGGGCCAAATTTATATATTTCTTTTTAAACTGTTTTTAATGTTTGTATTCATGTTTTTTACTTTGGCTGTACACCGCCCTGAGTCCTTTGGGAGAAGGGCGGTCTATAAATGTAATAGATAAATAAATAAATAAATAAATAAATAAATAAATAAGTGTGATTTTCCAAGAACAGAAACATTCAACGAAATCTAATTTACTCATTTTCTTAAATAGAGATAAAGTGCTATTGATTTCATGCCTATGAAGGACAAAAGATAGAGCAAATGTTAATGGATTCGTCCATTTTTTTTAAAAAAAAACAATCCGTAATGTTCTTTTTCCCCCCACAAGATTTTTACAAATCTTAGAAGCACAGATGTAAAGATGGATGAGCTGCAGTAAAAGAAGGGAAAGGATAAAAACTGTCAGCCACTTTAGAGATGAGCAAATTGAACCTATGATCCCGCTGCATAGGTAGATAAGTCAGATTTGACACTAGGATAATGCAAATGTGATACTCGTATCTCAGGAGAAGCTGCTACAGAGCTCTGTTGTAGCTACAGAGCTAACGTAGCAACCGTGCAAATCTTCCTCCAGCACTCTCGAAAACTACTGTTATCTGTCAGCATTATGTCGCTGTCTTTGAAATGGAAGCACCAAGAAAAACGATGCAGTGGCTGGGACATCAGGTGGCCTGTCCTAGAACAATTTCTGCCACTCTGCCATTGGCTAGGACAATGATGGCAAACCTTTTGGGCTCAGCATGTCAAAAATTTGGAACTTGCCTGACTCGATTCTGCTGACCCAAACATAAACAAAACAATTATTTACATATTCATTTGTTTTTTTAAAAAAATCCAATCCAATCGTATAGTGCTATGTACTGTATTATATAAAGAAGCATCAAATCATTAAACATGAACTACAGGTAAAACAAATTTTTGGGAGGGCTGGAAGCTGAGTGTGGCCTCTTGGGCCTTCAAAATAATCACACAAGAATGAGGCATACTTTCAAGAATAGTTGTTGGATATCGTGAATGTTGACATGTCATCTTTGACATGCATACAATAGGTTTTGCCCATCACTGGGCTAGGATTACATATTATACTAAACTCAGGTTTTTTTCCCCTCAAACATTAATAACATGTAGAGTTCCCTTGACATCTTAATGGGACCCTTAATGCAAATGCAAACAAACCATACTATGGTCAGCCCTAAGCTGTGGAAGTATAAACCCAGATATATGTACAGTGTCTCTGGAACCCTGTGAGGGCCATTGCATTCAGTGAACACACAAGGGATTGTCAGTGCTCAGAATGAAGGAGGGTGATATTAGCCAACTGGAGAGTACTACATGGTCTACTTGCTGTATTCAGGTAATGTTTGTCTTAGGATCAGCTGTCATTTTGTTATATTCCCTTTATCTCAGTTCTTGGGCTGTCTATGGTAATCCATCACAAGGACTGTTTGAATGTGATTTAATATATTATGGAACTGATCATAGGTATCCACTGTAAACTCATGAGGCACAGGTGACAAAATGTGCTTTCATAAGACAAAAACCTACCATTCGTACTTACCAGTACATCTGAATAATGTAGCAGTTATATTTACATCATCACCTTAAAATGCATGTCTTGTTATTTGCTTCCCTTTGCCCCCTTCTGTGGAAGCTATCTGGGGAATTCTGGGAGTTGAAGTCCACACATCTTCATGTTGCCAACTTTGAAATGCCCTGTATGTAGTAAAGCAAAAGCTAGACAGGTGCTTGTTAAGAATTTTAATTTGGATCCCGAGCAACAGATTGTTCTGATTGACCACTCCTGGTGGAAGCCATAAAACATTGTAACGTCACTGCAAGGAGTGATGCAAAATATGTAATATGCATTAGTCATATCATGATGCAGATTACATACAATGCATAATAAATGTCATTTAGGAGATGATGTCTTGACACATGTCATCGCTGCAGGCCCACAAGCCCCAGACTCATATTTCAGGCTGGATCTGAAATAATGGGGAACCATTGTGGTTTATTCCATAATCCATGGTGAACCCATATATAAATTAGGGTAGTAGGGAGCAAGATAGGCAGGTATTGTGGATTGCTGTACAGTTCAAAGGATCTTTTGGACCAGTTGGATTATTGATTCCAGGCAGAGTGGATCACTACCATAAAATAAAACCATGTCCCATAATCCACAATACTTTTACTGGAATCCAGTCCACGTTCAGGATTTTTTTGTTTCTTAAAGCCTGAAAAGCTTGAGTGAAGGCCATGGATTTGGGGGAATGTAGTCCCAGCCCATTTGGAAGATTAGAAAATATTTTGTAAGCATAGTTGACAATTGAACAGTTGAGGTTTTCTTCAGAGATGGAGCCAGGATAGAATGTTGCAGATTCCAATGGAATTTGAATAGAACGAAGAGGTTTTGGGAAGCTTCAAAGCGAATCTTAAGAGTAGGACCTCACAAAACTTGCCACATTGTAAATGGAGTATGGGAAAAGATGAGTGTTCCCTAGCTTTCTGGGTTCTTTCTCACTGAATGGAGTGCCACTGAATGGAATGGTTCAACCCATATGTTGGCTTTTTGAATTCTGGCCTGCTTAATTTTTGTAAGTTAAAAAAATACCTGACCAACGAATGGAGAGTTGAGAGTGTTGGCAGGGAAGTCTGGTGGAACCTGATTGTGATGGAAGATTAGGCAGGAGAGAGCAAGTCGCTCTCAGCAAAAGAAAATACCAAGCCCTCCTCTTGCTCTGAAGTTTATTTAAGCAAGTATTTGATATCAGTCCTGAAGCCCAAATACCACATGAGCAGGTATAAAAATAAACGGCTGACAAGTTTTTCTCCAGGCACTGTGTGCTGCCTCCAGAAACATTCAGCCCAAAAGGAAGCACCATTGCACCACTTTTCTTTGCTTTAAAAAAAAAATGCCTTCTAGGTTAGCTTGCTGTAATAAAAACACCTATGTAAAAAAAAAAAAAAATTCCCACAATGAAGAACAGATGTTGCTTCTTGCATGCAAAATAAGCTAATCCTTTCTTGAGGTTTTAGAAGCCTCTGTTAATGACAACCGTGGCATCACTAGCTGCTTCACACATGTGGCACCAATTTAGAAAAGTCTTAAATTCCAATTCAGAGAACCGGTTTTGTTTTTTCAGGTCCAAAATATTTCGGAAGGAAATAGCTAAACTAATGTCTTCTGGCACACTCTAAGGGTTTTCATTGACTGAGATGGTTGAGGACATTAACTTATGGTTAATAGAATCATGGCTTACTCAGTTAATTCTGGGGTTGCAGTCTTCACAAAACAGCAATTAACCACGACGGCTGGGTTTGTACAAGATTAGATCAAGCCTCTGAGCTGAGCTCAACTCTTGGTGACCACGTGGATACATCTATATAGTTTCCTTGGCAGGATATGGAAGTAGTTTGCAGTTGCCTTCTTCCAGGATGTTTCCTCCCCTCAACCTACCCCAAAGTAGGTTGGGATCTCCTAGTGGTCTCCCATCCACTAAGTATATGTTGCAGCAGATGCAAATTCCTGCTTTCCATAGAATCTTTAGAGATCCAAACTGAAGCCTTGCCCAGCTGTATTAACCAGGCCAGTGGCTTTATTTGGCTCTTCTAGAGCAGCCAAGCTTTGCATCCTAGCGCCACCTTGTATGAACCTAGAGAAATAGGCAAATGAACCACATTTCCACTGATGGCAGCCTCTGTATTAGGACCAGAACAGTGTGTCCTCCCTAGAGAATTGGCTGGCTCTGCTATCCTTTGGGTGGTCAGCAAAATTCATTTTTTTAAAAAAAACATTTATCCTGGCTTTTAAATATAAAGGAGTATGTGAATGAATCAAATTTGGCTTTCTAAGGTTTTGGCTGCAGCCTTTCAACACGGTTGTGTGTTTCCGTAAATGGGGTTCCACCCTGACATCCGAGCGGTAGGTAGCAAAACATTTTAAATGATTTTTTAAAAAAAAACGAATTAAAAGAAACCCCGTTGGTTTTAAAGTTATCACAGACTTTATTTTCATTTTATTTTTGTTCATGGGTTAAAAAAAAATATTTTTTTTCCGTGAAGGCCTTTCCTGAAGGCAGGTTCTCCTCCTTCTCCTCAGCAGAAAGCCGCTTTTAGCTCTGCCTCTCCACATCAGCGAGCAAAAAAGCAATGGAATGAGAAGCAGCCGCGGTGGCGGCGGTGGCGGCGGCGGCGGCGGCGGCAACCCAAAGATAAACGATGAGGGCCCGGAGCCTCGCGAACTCCTCCCTTGCCCGCCTACCGGGGGAGCTGCGCTAACTCTGACGTCATTTTGATCCGTGTCCGCACATGGGTGTGCAAATGTTCTGAGAGCGGCGCAGGTGGCCCCAGCCAGCTCTTAGGACTGGGAGGAGCGAGAGAGCTCGAAAGCGCCGTTTGGCTAATCTGGCCGGTAGGGTTGCCTCTTTTTTTTTTTTTTTTTTCCCTTCCCTTTCTTCTCTCTCTCTCTCTCTCTCTCTCTCTTTTTAAAAAAAACCCTCCTCGGTCAAATTTGCTATTATTGATGCAAAAAAGAGATCCAGGGACGCCCCGATTCGCTTGGAGCGAAGTCGTCCGAAACCAACACTCCCTTCACACACACACCTCTCCCCTGCAGGACGAGAGCGCTCTTTTCCGAACGGAAGATCGATTTGGGATTTTTTTCCCCCTTCTTCTTCTTCTTTTCTTTCTATCCTCTGTACTTCTTTTTTTTTTCTTCTTCTTTTGCTAGTTTAACCAAATTGGCGGAGTGAAGGAAGGGCGAAAGAGGGATGGCTCGACCTCTTCCTTTGAACCCATCTTTCCTACCCCCAACTTACGGGGTGCTGAAATCCCTGCTGGAAAACCCGCTCAAGCTGCCGCTGCATCACGAAGATGGTGAGAGAGAGAGAGAGAGAGAGAGAGAGAGACAGAGATCGTGTGTGTGTGTGTGTGTGCGTGTGCGCGCGCGCGCGTGTGTATGTAACAGGGGAAGGAGGAGTGTGGCGGTGGGTTTCCCTATTGCCCCCACCCTCCACCCCTCCGCCCCGCTTTATGGTCCTGCGGGTTGTTGTAAGGCTTACAAGCCGTGCGCAAGTTTCACGGAAAGCGGGGCGATCGAGCCGTGCGAACAGAGGCGCGCGTCTAAAACCCTAGCGTTGCTTTTGGGAATAAGGGCTTTTTGCGCGTCGAGGCGGGACGCGGACAACTCCGCGCAATCTGAAGCGCGCATTTTTGTTTCGGCTCGCCGGAGACTGCAGTTGCAGGCTTAAAGATCCTTGGGAATTGGTTCTGCTGAATCAAGCGGGATTCATTTCCATGTTAACACGCCTAGGATTACCCCGAGTGGTAACAACGATTCTTTCTAATCCTGCCTCTTTTTGCCTCTCTGTATGTTAGTCGGAGATAAGTCCAACTCAATACACTGGACTTACCCTCAAGTAAGTATGCCTAAAAAAAAAACAACAACCCGGCTGCAATAACTTGCTACTCTTTGCTAAAAAAAAAAAAAAAAAAAAAAAAATAGCGTGTGCGGTGTGTTTATAGTGTAGCGTCAAAAGTGACCGTACTTTTTATCCACCGGATAGTTTATTTTTGGTTGGCAGGTTCCCTGATACATTGGAGCTGCTCTTTTGGGTAAAGTGCCTTCCGATACCACAATTTGCCAAGATGTCAGAAAAAGAGGGAAATTCGGGTCAGAGTGTTTGTATTGTGCACTTCTGAGAAGTAAATCCTCCCCCCCCCTTTTTTTTTAGTGGCGTTTCTCTCAGGTAAATTGGGATTTTTGCAGTATGGTTTTACAGAATCTAGCAGCTCTTGCCCTTGTTTGATTTAAAAGTCAGAGCATTTAATTTCTGTGGAGGCGATTTTGAAGAAAGTGTATGCCTTGAACTGTAGGCCCTCCCCATACTGCTTTTCTCTGCATTACATGGGGCATACATTTATCCATAAATGTGTACACACAGCTCCCCCCAATACACATAGACTACTTAAAGCCTTTTTTTTTTAAACAAATCTGGAGAGACTTGTTTCATACATGAATCAGAAATTTTACCGCATTCCTGAAATCAGAACTTGCAGCATGTATTTTCCCCCTAAAGGTACTAGTAAAACCATTAAACTCTAATGCAGTTAAAAGTCAATAATAGCTAAGCATTGTACAGCATTCAACAATTCTCTATGATTTTCTAGGTAATATTCCCTATCACCTATATTTTAATACTTGTGCAGTGTAGTTTAGACTCATCTCATTCCTGTTGACTATGAATCAATACATAATTTTTTCCATAAGAAAACCCCAAACACAAGAATAGGATATCAAGATTAATTATGTTGATGTAATGTGTCATTCTGAAAAGAAAGTTTTGGGGGGAGTTCTTTTAGAACTGATAACAACTTGAAATATTTCCAGTGCTGAAAGATTGGATTTACAAATAGTAAATGTTTTAATAAAATATATTTGAAGAGGATGACCAGTTGCTGAGAAATGCATTAAGGGTTACTTACACATTTAGGAAGTGGCTGCCAATAGTTATTTGCAGGCATAATAAGTCTAAATCCAATGGATATGAAGAAACAAACTACAAGTTGCACAAAGACCTGTAATTACCATTTTATTGCTACTTTGCTGTAAGAAAAATCCATCAAGGAGGAGGGGGGATTACAATTAATTTTGCAATTTCCTACACAGTGTACAAAAAGTTCTGGTTCTTGGCTTCAAAACAAATGTGCATTTCAAAACAATCCCAGGCATAGGAGTAGAAGAAAGAGGAGATACAAATCTGGAAATGGTTGTAGGAAGAAGCTAAAAAGGGGCTTAATATTTCCAGCCTCTCTATTGCTGCTGCAAGTTTATTTTTAACCAGTCTTGTGAAATGCAGTTGTGACTCCCCTGGGTAATGTTTGGCTTGTTTTATAGCTTCTCATTATGGATTTCTAGTTTCTAAGCAGCAAATGATTAAGATTGGACTAAATTAGGCTATTTTACTAAGATAGCATTTTCAAAATTCCTAACTAGCATGTTCATCTAGATAATTGGGTTTTTTAAAAAATCAGCTGTGGTGATATATTTATTTATATTTAAAATGTGGTATGTTGCCCTTCAAAATTGATTTGAAGCAAATTAGCAATGCATTACAAACACAATGTGTATTCTGTTCTTCTTAAACCTATTTGAAGTAGTAACTGGTTACATACATTGCGGAAACCATAATCTTGCTTTTATTATTTAGATTCTGTCTAATGTATACAAACAAAGCCACTGTGGTTACTAAACTCTGGCTTATTGTGTTGTGCAATGCCAGTTAGTGGTGGCTTAAATGAAACCATGTTTAATAAAACATTGGCTTATAACAGAGATATAAACCCTACCATTATGAGTACAGAATTCTGTAAGATTTGATCAGGCAAATCCCGTATGCCATGTTCCACTATACCCATTTGAGCAATTTTTCTTGTTCCTCATGCTGATGAAATCTTGGAGTGGTGTTGTTTGAAGCTTGCAATTGCTTGAAGCCAAGAATGCAGATGAATTTGAAGTTAAAAGCAGAGATGGAAAACATGCATGGCGTTAATGAGCTGAAAAATGTATCCAGAGACTTCAATTGTGTTCCAAACATAGAACCCCAAAAAGAATAAGTACAAAAGGGTTTTCTTTATTTTCTTCCTAGCAAGAAACTAGCTAAAAATTTCCTCACGTTTCCTTGCCTTCCCCTTCCCTTTCTAGCATTTTATAAAGAAAAAGACAAAGACAAAAAACTGGATGACGACAGTACCAGTGCCACTGTCCCACAGTCTGCTTTTCTGGGGCCTACATTATGGGACAAGACACTTCCCTATGATGGTGACACTTTCCAGTTGGAATACATGGACCTGGAAGAATTTCTCTCAGAGAATGGCATCCCACCCAGTCCAGTCCAGCACGACCACAGCCCTCATCAGCCAGCTCTTCAGCAACCTACCTCAGCCTCACCACCTGTCATGGACCTCAGCCACAGAGCATCTACATCGGTCCACCCGACCATGGTTTCCCAAAACTGCATGCAAAATACACCCAGGCCAGGTAAAGTAAGAGGTCCTTTGATTATTATTTTTTTTGGCACCATGGGTGAGGAGTTCCACATGTGTGTCACATGGAGCCTTTTCCATTCAGGTTGTGAATATGTGTGAAGTACTGGAGAGAAACTTGATTCAGTGCAAGGAATGGGAGATTAGATCATGCTCCTTGCTTTTCCAGGGTCTCACCCTTACTTCATTCAAAATGGGAGTTTTGATTCATGTTCACCAGTATTGAGTGTTGTCAAAACTCACTCTCAGTGTTTCTCCTTGTTTTGACCACATACACCTGCAGTATCACAATGTTTGAAAACAACTCATGATATGTAGATTCAAATGCAATTGTTAGAGAGCGCCGTGATGTGGTGCAGTGGTTAGAATGCAGTATTGCAGGCAAACTTTGCCCACTGCCAGGATTTTTATTCTGACTGGCTGAAGGTTGATTCAGCCTTCCATCCTTCCAAAGTCGGTAAAATGAGGACCCAAATTGTTGGGGGGCGATATGGTGACACTGTACAGAGCTTAGAGAGAGCTGTAAAGCACTGTGAAGTGGTATATAAGTCTAAGTGCTAGTGCTAAAATTAAGCAATATACTTCTTTCTTGCCCAGTCAGAACCTGAATGAAATCATTAGTTCTATACACGGAGACTGTCATGCATATTCATTTATTATTTTGAGGAGGGGTTGCAATACACAGAATTTGCTAACTCCTGCAGGGAGGTTCTCATTCAGATACATATAAGGAGTGTCATTTTAGAACTTCTGATTCAATATAGCAAGGCTGGTAAAATGAAGAAGGGGACTACTATCTGGACATATTTACATAAATATACTGGATTAATATGAAGCCCTACACTAAAGTCTTCCCATCATGTGATATTTGGAGCAAGGAGGGAAGTCCTCAAACTGAGACAACTCCCTGTGTTATTTGGAGAATGTTTTTTTCCCAAGAACCACATAAGTAGAGCCACTTGCTATCAGTTGTAGCTTTCTATGTGCAGGGAGGCAACCAGCACTTGCATGTAAAGGAACCATGCTTTGGTTATGCCCATGCAATTCCTTACCTAAATGCTGCCATATTGGTGTGGGAAATGGCTCTCCACATTTCTATGAATTACATGACAGCTGCCATCTCACAATTAGAATTAATGTCATGTCTGAATGGGTGTTTTGAAAGGTTCATGAGATGTGCTGGAATTGTCTACATTCCAGGTTGCACATCTGTTTGCAATGGGTTAGGAACCTGTAGATCTCCAGATGTTGCTGAAGTACGGTTCTTAGCATCCATCACTATCAGCCAGGGTGTTGTAGTTCATTGATATCTGGAGGTCAGGTCTCCAGCTAGAGGGAGGCAACACAAAATGCTAATAGCAGACACTAGCATGTGCTTGAAGGAATAATGGAGAAACACTAGAATTCACAATGAGTTTGAATAGTTCATTCTTCATTGAAGGAAACTTTGCATAAAAGTAACTACTGTCAGATTTTAATTTTTTTTAAAAGAAGACTTTCTGTGGGAGAATTTTGCAAGTGGTGAAGCTGTTCTTAATTTTTTTAGAATTCAGATTTACTTTAATGAACTGTTGGTACAACAATATCGGCAGTCTCCTAATTACAACATTTCTGAATGGTATGTGATTAATACATCTCATCTGACAGATACTTATACATACAGGAAATATCACAATCCATTTGTTAGAGTGCCCAGAAGACCACTTGAAAAATCTTCTGGGAACTGAGAACATTCTCTTGAAAATGCCCCTACAGTTATTCTGAAATAATCACAACACTGCTTTAAACATTCCTTATTAAACAGAGAAGCAATTTGGAAACATTTTAAAACTGAGCCTGCAGTCCTAATTATATTTATTAGGACTAATCCCCATGAAAATTGTGGGATATCTAGGTCAGTTCTATTTATGTTTACAAGTTAGTCTGTCAAACAAGCAGTTAGGAAAAGGAGAAATATACGGTGGGGTGGATGAGTTAAGTACTTTGAATTAATACCAAATAGAATTAGGGAAATCTGCATGAAGTGCAATTTGGCCCTATATTTAATTTTCACTTGGGTTATTTATCGCTTATCTGACTTCTGTTGGAAAAGAGCTCATTGTCAACAGCAGGAAACCATGTTATTTGCTCTCTGGTCCTGGGATGGTGAACAAGAGATTGTTGTCAAAGACATATAAATCAAAATAAATCAAGCAGCTAGCATTGAGAGTGGAAAAGAATAGTACAGAAAATCAAAGCCACAAACTGTGTGATTATCAGAAACTGGGAGGAGACTGGTGATCTAGCTGCATTTCTTTGAAAATCAGAGCCAGAATCCTCATTGACATGCACTTCAGTTGATTATTATTATTTTTTTTGAATGAATGTTTATTTCAACTGGAATTGAAACCAGGGGAAGAATTTCAGATGGAGGCAGTATACATTTCTCTGAAAAGCTATTAAATGCTGAGTAGTATGTGATGGGAACGCGGCTGTGAATTGGTTCCAACCAACTAGTTTCTTTGCACATAAGTGAGTATGGCATCCCAAGCACAGTTCCACATATAAAGAAAGTGCTGAGTTGAAAATGTGTGTTTGGTGTGCAGCGCACAACACCACAGTGGCTTGGGCTTCCTGGCCCATGGGCTCTCAGAATCAGGTGTATGATGGAAACTTATCCTGGTGGCATTTTTTTTTTTTTTTTTGCTTTTGAGGTGTAATGATGACGAGTTCCATGTGCGGCTTTTAAAGAGATGTAACTTTTGAAACAGCACTGAAAGAAAACATGATGGAGAGGGTCCCAAAGGTGCTTTTTCAAGAGGCAACTAGACTTTCTGGTTTTTCTTTGAAGACGTTTTGCTTCTCATCCAAGAAAGAGAGGGAGTAATTTTTTTAAGGAGAGAATTATAGGTTTTGGAAGCAGCATTGGCTGCAGGAGAAATGTGGATTACATCGAGGGGAGGAAAAAAAGGCAGAAAGCCTAAAAAGGCAGGTGGTCTCTCTGAGCTTGGCTAGTCTCTTCCTGTGAATTTTCTGGCAGGTGCTCCATGAAGGTGCATTGCAGTAGTGGGTTCCACCAGGGGTGAAATGCTCCCGGTTCAGCCCGGTTCAGCCAAACCGGTAGCGATGGTGCCCGGTGGTTCGGAGAACCGTTAGCGATGGTGGCACAAGGCTCTGCCCACCTGCCCGGTCATTATTACATTACATGTTTTTTACCTCTGCGCATGCGCAGAGGGTCCAAGCACATGTGGCATGTGCACTTCCAAACTGGTTGGGAAGGTAAGTAGATTTCACCTCTGGATTCCACTTACCTTCGCTACCAGTTCGGAACCGGGAGCATGCGTGTTCATGAGCGAAGCGAGTGCGCAGTGCTTCTGCGCATGCACAGAGCATCCATGATGACATCCGGGCAGGTGGGCAGAGCCTCCCACTGCTGCCACTGCCGGTTCGCCCGAACCGGGGCGAACCGATAGAAATCCACCACTGGTACATTGGCAAGAATCATTTCCCTTTCTCGCTTGTGGATTCTGCCTGACATCTCAAACCTGGTCCTTTATGCTCTCTATTCTTAAGAGGTCAAGGGAAGTTTTTTTTCCCAACTAAAAGAAAGCTGCACAGGGTTTAGCATTATGGAAGCACTTTGAGACACCCCATGGTGGTATCATATGGCTTCCCCACACATCAAACTCCTGCAAAAAAGACAAAGACTAGGCAAGCATCACCTTTGGTGGGTAAATCTTTCCATTGGCGGGGAGGATTTGGTGTAGTAATGCTTCCAAGACAACTGTTTCTGCCACATGTGTTCTCAGATGCTACACCACACTCAGGATTGTGTCAGGTTCCCTCTATATCTTTGAAATGACTCTATGATATGCCTCAATGGCCAAGCACAGGATGGAGGGTAGAGAAAATTATTAGAATGATAATCCTTCCCTTCACCCTACCTTTTTGGGAGATCAGGAAAAGCAGCCAATCTTTACATGGTCACCTGTCAAGATTCATTTGCAACCTCTTTTACAAATCAGGCCTGGCTAAGATTTATGCTCTTGGTTGATTTTAGAAAACACCCCGCCCTCTCCCCCCCTGCCCCGGTGGTTGAGGAATTTCAAAACACACTTCTAAACTGTCCTACTGCCAAAAGTTATTTTGATTGCAGGTTTTGTTGTTAGCATCCACAAATGCCCCTCCTATTTAAAAAATCATGCCCAAAGTTTCCTTAGAATCTCCAGGCTGTAAGCCAAGTATTTATTTTCAGTCTAGATCTGCAACATGAACAATACAACAAAGCAATGGAGACTTTGCCATAAGCAAGAGTTTCTTTCCCTCACCTCAAATGACCCAGCAAGCACATATACATTTGGAGCTACAGAGTCCAAGGTTACAATGAGTTGATGTGTTGCCTGTCAGAATTCACATTAGAAATGACTTAAGTAATGAAGCTCATGCTTTCTAGGCTCAAGGACAATTTGCCACAGTCAATTCACTGCGGCCAAACCGCCATGGGCCAACTCGCTGCGGGACAAGAATAATGCTAATTTCAAATAAATGGTAAAATAGAATGATTAAAGAAATGATGCAAAAGGAGGGATAAAATGTAATGTGAATGACAAATATTAAAATATTTTAAAAATTATTTTAAATACGCAAGTTGAATTATTGAATTTTCCTGTGGCGAGTTGTCCCATAGCCAGTTGGCGATAGCAAGTTGTCCTGTAGTGAATTGGCTGTGATGAATTGGCCATGGCAAGTTGTCCACAGTGAGTTGGCTGCGGCAAGTTGTCCCATTCTGTGCTTTCTATTCAAAAGAAGAGAACTTCTTTTCCCCACTGTTTTAGTTCAAAAGATCATGTAATGAACTGGGGTCACAATTTGAGGGGTTGATTGTGTGACCCTTGCCCCCTAGACTTTCCCCAGCATGCTGACTAGGAAGTGGATGATGGGCAAGTAGCAACAGGAGTTGGTACTTTTAGTGTCTTGGCACTGGGGGTGGGTTCTTCTTACCTTTACTACTGGTTC